GATCTACACCCCCACCCGGCAGCAGCCACCCCCACCCTGATAAACTCACGTGGCATTGCAGTAGACCCCTGTGCACCCTCCCCCACCTGGCAGCAGCCACCCCCACCCTGATAAACTCACGTGGCATTGCAGTAGACCCCTGTGCACCCTCCCCCACCTGGCAGCAGCCACCCCTGGCCCAGATGTGCTTGCGCCGCAGCAGCCACTTACCTGCCCACCAGCCTGCTCAGAGCCTCCTGGGACTCATGACATCCTGCCAGCTTCCCCAACAAGGATTGCTGGGATTGCCATCGCTAAGCAATGCGATCATGTGACATCGCACTTTGCAACCACATTGCTTAGCAATGGAAATTCCAGTCCCAATTACCATCATTAAGCAAGAACTACCTGTGGGGAAAGCACAACTAGAATTAGGTATAAAGTTAATTCATAAACTCTGATCATATAGCAAAGAAAACTCTTGCATTGACCTTGCTATGCAGAAAAAAATTATTAGGATACTGTCACTATTCAGTGGTGGATAAACATGCTATCAAAACAATGTGATCACAAGAAAGGTGACCTCACTTACCAGGTTATTTGAGACCACAATATAACCAAAGTATTAATACTCACTCTGGATCCTTAGTCCCCATTCTGATCCCTGTGAACCACTCTATGTAGAATTTGATCAAGCTTATTAGAAATATGAGTTTTACTACCCATGAAAGCTGCTGCCCTTAGACCAACAATGGCGACACATTCTGTATTGAGCAGTTGGCTATTGAAGTGATTAACTGAGGCACCTATTCTAGAGTTGAAATTGCCCACCGGTATAGTTACAGTACTAGGATGTTTTAATCTATGATGCACTATACACTATTCAGGCTTACCCCAGATATAATTTACTTGAAATAGCAACATCTATAGAGGGAGATAAGTATTTGTGGCTAAGTAGCTGCATTCTAATTGCAAAAGTTTTGCCATCTCGAGCAAGTTGTATGAGGTAAACTTACTTAATCCCTGAAGTTTATTTGAGACGAGGGCAGCAATATGATTGCATCTCAAAGAGTGAACTGTATTGCCTCTTAGCTCAAAATTTTCTTGTGCCCGTGTCTTTGGTAAAAGAACAGCATAATATTTAACACTAAATTTTAAAATGAAGGTTTGTCACTTTTAGAAGATTTGGCAGCATTCCAGGATACTGTATCAAGAAAATATTGTTGATCTCCCTGCAATCATTTAGCAGGCTGGGGAAGGAGTTCCCCAACTAGAGCTGTATCCAATTCAGGGTTTCTATCTTCAAGAGGATCTGAGAATAAACATCTCCACTACTGTGGAATGAGCTGCTAGTGCTCTTCCTTTTTAACAGATAGCGACTGGCACACTTGGCAGTAAATTTTGTCTCTAAGTCACTAAGTTGGAAGCCCCACTTAAATACCCATAAGCAACTCACATGGGGAGTAAGCAAAATACCCATAAGCAACTCATATGGGGAAGGGCTCATCTCTTCTTTTGAGGATCTTCTATCTGCCTCTCTAGCAGGGGAATTTCTATTTGCTGGGTTTTATCTTTCCAAAGCACTTATCTGCTCTGCTGTTTCTTATGGGTATGCTCATCCAAATATCTGGAGGACGCTAGATTGGGAAGACATCCCAGAATGTATACATTTAATGGGAGTCATTCATGCAGATAGGATGTAACAATTAATTTAATTTAGACCCTTTAATAATGTTTGAGACTACTTAGTGAGGGTTAGAGTCTCCCAAGTAATGCACGACTTTCACGTATGCCAAACCTACTCCTTTCGGAACTATAGTGTAGCTAACAAGTACTGCCCTTTTTGCTTTGGATGCTGAGCAATGATGAAAGGGCAGTATATGTGTAGTGGTAGAAATGAGCCCTTGGAAGCTACTTCTTCCATTGGTTTTTATGTGACAAAAGCACGTGCAGAAACTCAAGTGTGAATGGGCATGGAGACCAGCAAAGGAAGACGTAGCAGGTGAAAAAAGCATTAAACATCTACTCTTCCAGCCACCATTTTTCTACTCCAATTGTATCCACTGCTATCATTGGCTATTTTCATCTGGGTTTCCCAGGCATGCAGAGATGCAGAGAATTGCTAAGTGTGTGATTCTGGCTCTATGAACTAATCCTGAAGTGTTTGAAAATGTTGTGCTGAACATGTTTCCAATTCATTGAAGGTCAAATTATATTGCTGCCTTTACAGAAGTGGTTGATCAGTGCGACCTATTACATTGCTGCTTTAAAATATGAAGTCTAATTTAAATACAAATGTAAATGGATCTAGGACGAATCCATTTTTCAATTAGGCCTCACTCGCTGTTTCTGCAACTTCTCCTTCTGCTGTTTAAAAGAACTGTCAGTTGAGGACATTTTACCTTGAACTTGTTTTTATTGCAAACATCACTTGCTCTTTCATGTGAGTTTGAACCAGATTTTTCTTTGTCAGTACATGTGTGCATATGTTCACATCTGAGTTTGCATGTGTGTACACGTATGTATTACTGCATGAAGATGTACCATTTGTTTTCACAGGCTTGCCAAAATATGTTTAGATTTAAAAATGTATCAAGCAGCATGTTTCCACGAAAAGGCAGTGGGTGAAGTCTTTATTAATGAAAAGGAACAAGGAAGGTATGTAACAAAGGACATGATTCCGTGACAGGTCTACACACATACCAAATAACTATATGTCCCAGTCTAAAGCAGCCTGTTATGGAGCACTCAGAGTGTTCATAGGGTAGTTTTCCAAAACTTGTTAAAATCCCACCAACTAGCAGTTTTGCAGAAAGAAAAAGCTGAAGGATACAGGTAAATTGAGACTCCTGTTTGCCCTCCTGAGCAGCTGAGTAATAGAATTTAACCTAATTTACAAGGATCATGGATGCACACACTCAAAACAAGTATTAGAAAAGGGAGCTGCAAGTGTAGAACCCAACTGTGCCTTCAGTTCTCTTTCATATGATTCCAAAATTGATTGCAGTGATAAGTTTCATAAATATGTAGGATACTATAACAAAGTTATAACAAAGTTGAAGGGGTATTCCATACTTGTTAATAGATTAATATAAGCTTTTTGTCTATGTTAACCAATTACATTAATATTTTCTAGCAAATAGATTAAGCCCTCTTTCCCTGTTTCAGATTTAGACAAGAGATTGCATTTAAAAATGAGAATGCCATACAGGATAGCCAAATGGAAAATAAAAATTTTGATTGGACAGCACCAGGCAACGTAGATCAAAGTAAGAAGCTGTTTACTGCAAAAGATAAGGTAATCAATACTCATCTTGCATATGTATGAAAGTTGCAAGGCAGTTCAACCCATTTTGCTGCTTGTATAAGTCTTTATTGCTTTCAATAATAAAAAAAGCAAACCATAAAACTAACTATACCTATATCTTGCTATGTACCTTTGAGTTTGTAGCATGGTGTATAGTTTTAACATTATAATTAATGTTAATTTATAACTAATATTTTAAAATGTAGACATTTTAAAAAGAATAATTTCTAGAATAAATTATTTGCAGATCCTGGAACTCAATGCAATTACTGAAAAAGAATTAAATGGGCTTTCTCTCCCCTACTTGTGGATAGACAAAGCTGAAGTCCTAATCCAGCTATGTTTATATCAACCAGCAAGATTACTACTCTCAGAAGCACACCAAGCAACACAGGTAACTTAATAATTTTTTCCTCAAAAGTGCATGTCTCCAATTGTTTCTTTTGATTCACCATTTCCAGAAAATACATTAGATATCCTGTAACTATTCAATAAGAGAAAAAACTGTGGGTAGTTTTGGAATTAGGGGACGCGGTGGCGCAGTGGCTTAATGACGCTGAAAGTTGCCGGCCAGAAATGGTC